CTTCAACTCACTTAGGGCACCAAAATGGCCAGAGCCAGCACTGCTAAAAATGATAATTTTACTTCTTTTACTTTAAAATGTTACTACCTAACACCTAGTTACTCTTTACAAAATTAAATAGTTCAAACTCATCATGAAAGATGTTTGTGCACTCTAAAAAATGAAGTGTTGAATTTACTCAACAGTCATGTTAACTGGCTCCACGAAGATTAGTCAAGTAAACTGAGCAAATAATATACATATATTACTCAATTTACTAACCTGGCTTAGAGGAAATAGTTTGGTTCAGTAAATTCAACAGTTTATTCCTTAGAGAGTGAGTAAAAGTACTTTAACTTTTACTTTCCCAATTTTTGTGAAGTTTTATCTCTTTTACTTGAGTAGTTTTCTCATCAGTGAAATTTATTTTTACCAAAGTCATTTTCTGTTCATGTAATTTTACTTTTACTTAGTTGTTTTTTTCCCAAGTACTTTATAGACCTCTGGTTTCAACAATATGGCATTTTAACAGGTGGTCACTGTGAAAACACATTGTAATTATGTTGACATATAACTTTTCTGTTCTGTTCAATCAGTGGCCAACTACAACTTTGACAAGACCAAGCAGTGCATTGGTGCCATGACAATTGAAATTGACTTCCTGCAGAAGAAAAGTACCGACTCCTCTCCATATGACTCCGACAAGATGGCTGCTGAGTTCATCCAGCAGTTCAACAACCAGGCCTTCTCTGTCACCCAGCAGGTTTATCCTCACCAGCATCACAACACATTCTTAGAAACACACTTTGTTTTATGTTGATGCAGCATATTTGTGTTATGCTCTCTGTTATCTCTGTYATCAGTTGGTGTTTAGTTTCTGCGACAAGCTCTTTGGTTTGGTGGTGAAGGATATTGAGGCCATGGATGCCAGCATCCTCAAAGGAGAACCAGCTTCTGGAAAGAAACARCAAAAGGTACATGCCCTCTCTAATGAGAGCAAACATTCACAACACTGAAGTAAAAAAAAAAAGATGAAATAGATCAGGTTGTGTTGATGTAATTCAGCTGTTTGCCTTTGAGCTTTCTGTTGGTGAGAAGAGGAAAATCAGATTATTCTGCTGCTGGAAACGGTTGAAGCCTCGCTATGATTCASTTCTGCCTCCTGTGGGATGGCAGTCATTGTTCTGATAACAGCATTAATTCTCAGTAATTACACTCTAGAGAGTGTGCTGGAAAATTGCTTTTAGAGCTAAAACAGTACAAATATCATCACAGTCAGATTATATGAAAGGAGTATGTTATTTTACAGTCAATTCTTTTCAGAACACAAACAGGCTACACATGACATTGTTACATAATACCACTGAAATTTCTTTTTAAACACTTCTTTTTGTCATTAACTTAACCTTTTCATTGTTAAAATGACTAATTATTTTGTCTTCATCTTTTGAAGCCAAACAAATTTATTTAGATTGTTGGCTGGTAACAACAAATAATATACATTTTAATAAGGACCATGTTTTCATTTAACTTATTGTGTACCTTATCTGACAGGGGTGGAGCCAGAGGTATGGCTGGGGTGGCGAGTACCACCCCTGGCACCTGATTGGCCACCCCAGATGCCACACCCAAATGATTGACAAGTGGGATTTCAAAGAGCAAAAATGAGTAAATATTTGTCAAGCAGTTGTATTATCTGGTGTGGAGGGAACGTTATGTGTGTCAAGACATTTCAGACTCACTGGGTTGATATAAAGCAATAATTTGCAACTGTTGCAACCGTCCCCCTTCCGGTCAGCCATGATAAAACCTCATCTGTTAGCTAAATAAGCTGATCTGGATACATGTTAACTATATTAGTTAAAAGTCAACATGTCACTTCTTAAAACCATATAAGTTTGAGCTGGATCACAAACACAGTGACAACAGTATAACAAAAATAAAGGTGGGTAAAAAAATAAAATACTTTGGTACCTCAAAAACAGTTTTTTCTAATAAATCCTGGAGCAGTTTTTGAATCTGCTTACTTTTTCTCTGCAAGGTGGGGCATCTAACTGAACATGTACAGTGTGAGTGTCATCACTCTAGCTTGTTTCTGTTTGGAGAAAAATGACGTGTTGCAACCGTCCCTTGTTGCTACTGTCCCCGGTCTCCCCTAATTTGCACAAAAACACAGTTTCAGCTCAGTTTTTCTTCAAACAGCTGAATTAGTCTTTGTCTGGCAGTCATCTCAAATTTTCAAATCCAGAGTAGTTTTCTTCATTGGTATGCGCCCCCTAAAAAAAAAAAAACACCTTGGCCACCCATTGCAAAAAAG